ATGAGGAACCAGACTTCATTAGCTTTGCAGTTTAAGGAGATGCTTGTTATCAGTTAGAGTGACTTTTCTCTGAGCTATTCATTACTAAAAGGAGTTACTATTTTTTGATCTCTTAGTTACAAGCTGTTTAAACAACTTATTTTCTGTGTAATCCTGTGTCTGTACAGAATTCAAAGCAGTATGAGCAGAGTCTTTTTACACAAGAAAATTGTGTTCATTCTCTTTGTTTTATTTCCCAAACTGATATTAAAAAAAGTGCAAATATCTTTCATTAATTGAATGTAGTTTTTGATGTTTCTCAACTTGAAAAGGAAGTGTTTTTTCAGTGACAACTTTCTCCTCAGCCAAAAATTGTCTTTTGGAGCATTTTTTTTGTTGAAGTGTTTAGTTTTTCTGCTTTGTAACTTTTTGAAACTGTCTCAATTAGTGATGTAATTCAGCTGTTTATCTCTAGATTCTCACAGTGGATGTCATACTAAGCCTGCAATTGATAGATGATGCCTTTCAGACCTTTATTAGTGCTTTGATTTCAGTGCTTGTATTAGTGCTTTTATTTATTAGTATTGTATTTATATATCACTCAGTATTAGATTTGTTATTGTGAAGATAAAAATACTTGTAAAGAGCATACATGAACTTCCTACTCTGTTAACAGAATGAGTTACATTAGTTTCACAAGGGGAAGTGTTCTGTAATAGCAAGAAGTAGAAAAGAGAGGCATATATAAAAAATAATTTTCATTTTCTTTATGCAAAACAAAAGATTTCATAACAGATTTAGGTGTAAGCTCAATTATGTATTGGTATACATCAACAATTATGTTTCCACTAAAAAAAATTCCTCCATTGAAATTAATATGCTTGTGTAAGCAGGTAATTTGTCATTGCTAGATAAAAACTGGCTATTGGCCTGCAGACTTACAGCTGTCACTCTTTCTTTTGTTTGTTGTGTTTATAAAGGCATTTTAATTAGCAAGGCTTTGTTCATTTCATCATCATTTTGTATTTTTTCTTCCATGCTCCTCTCAGAAATCCCACTACTTCATTACCAAGCTGTCTTCCACTGTTTAATATTAAAATAAAAACCAACCGCATAGCCCTGGGATCAAGCTTTCCTTGAGAGCATTCAGATGAAAAGCATATTTTATGAAGAAGACTTTAAAAAAAAAAAAAAGGAAGGAAACAAAAAGAAACTCTACTAACTCTCTAAGAAGGTCTTTGTAAATAAGCTATAAATTCTTTCTACATCTAAAAGTTGCTTTGAACTCTTATGTTCCAAAGGTGAAACTGAAGCTTCAAGCTATAGGAGACTGGACTGGTTTTGTCTTTAAAATATAGAACAAGGGAGAGATTAAATTACAGCATTTCCGTGTTCTGCCTTTATTACTTTGGTAACAATATTGTTTTGGCTGTTTTTCTAGACTTCAAATTGTATTTGGAGATTTATAGAGCTTGCAGATTAAAAGACTATAAAATGAGATACAGGAACACTGAAATATTAGGGTTTTTTGCATAGGAAGAAAACCAGTGTAAAAATGAAAAGTAAATTTAGTAATCATAGTATATTTTCCTTAATTTTTTGCTTTTAAAAACATTGTCTCTGTTGCAGTACATACTTAAAAGCTAAAAAAAAAAAAAAAATCTATTTTGGATGAGAAAGATGTCAAGGGAATTTCTGCATGGGAAAAACTCGCACAGAACATGTTCTTGCTAACAGCAGTAGTTGTCCAATTTAGCCAAGTATAAAGGTTAAATTGAATGTCAATTTCAACTTGAAATCCAATGCACATTACAATGGACTGCTAGGATATTCTTTATATTTCTGTATTTCAGTTTCATCAGTAATAGGAATAGCATTTGATAAATGCTGAAAACATAAAGTGTTACTGTTTGTGGTATATCAAGATTGAATTTTGGAGTGCTATTTTTACTAAAATCCGTTGTTACAACCTGAGCAATGTTATCAATTACTTTCCTAATTATCATGGGGTATGTAAAAAAGCTTACATGAGTTGGAAAATTGTTTTATGTGATTAATGGATTGCTCATTTTTGAATGACAGCCAGAAAAATGAAAAAGTGCAACAAGTTATTTGTTTTCTTCTTAAATAATGTAGACTTAGGCCCCATTCAGGTATTCTTTCACTGAGTGTGTGTGGTACTGTCACATTTCTATTTTTTCCAGACCATCTCTGTACTGCAGGAAACTGTGCAGTGGACCTTTGAAAACAAAGCAAACCCAAACTTTGCTTTTGCAGCTTGGTTTTTCTTACCACAATATTAAAATAGTATGACACTGAATAGAAATTATAGTCGAGGCCAACTGTAACAATAAGGATGACATTCACACTAGGTTTCATAACATAGGTGCAAAGTAGGTTATATTCACTTGGGGTGCTCAGCTGAAGAGGACATAGAAGGAATAAAGTAAACAGAGAAAAGAATGATCTAAAATGCTGCTAGGTAAGGAGCTTTATATTTTTTTCACAGCCAGTTAAAATATAAAAATTGCCTGTGTGCAGATTTACACATAATCAGTTAAATGAGTTTTCTATTGACTCATACAAATCGATCAGAGTTCATGAATGCCTTTGATGAAATAATTTTCCCCTTGCATTAAATTTGGACTTAATTTTAAAAGTTGTACAAAGCCTTTGTACAAGACCACACTTTTTTATTTTGTAAAAGAACACCATTTTGTTCCCTAAACATGTCCTAAAACCAGAACCTAGTGTCTATCAAAAGCTCTCTTGTCCTCTGAAAATCATAATAGGAACTTCCAAAGGCACTGTTTCATCTGATTTTTTTTTTATTATTTTCTTTCAATATCTTATTTCTAAGCTTATGCAAAAACAAAAGGAAGACAAAATAATAGTAGCTGGTATTTCTGGGGAAAAATGGGGTGTGAGAGAAATAAAAATTTGCTGGACATGGAAAACAGATTTGCATGAAATTTTCTGTTAAAGTTGGTGGTTTGGTTATTTTGGTCTCTTTTTATATTAAAAAACCCCATTACATTCTGGAAGGAAATATTGGACAAATTAAGGACTTGACTCTTTCTGGTGGCTTAGAGGCTAAACCAAAAATCTTTAGCTTAGATTTCTAGGCCCAGCCTCTCCTATAGTCTGAATATTAAGGTTCTCTACCTTTTCTGACTAACTTTCCAAGTTCTTCTATAAAGAACCTCATTGCTACTTCAGCTTGTTGTCAGAGATTAAATATTGTCTCAATAGTGTCCTTTCTTCATGCAGCTTCACTTGCTTTATTTTACAAACTAAAGCAACTTTTTCTCTATTCTTCCTATCTCTATGGTAGCAAAAGTGGTAAGGAGAAAGAACTCCTTAGGAATTTTAAGAGAGGTAGAAAAATGTGCAGGTTAAGTATAGAAAATTATTGACCTTAAAGAATCAATAAAGAATGAAGATGAAAATGCATAAGCAACTCAGTCTGGGTTTGGAATTTGTTTTGAGGGGAAAATATAATTTGTTTTGAGGGGAAAATATCATTTTATCTTTTAGTATAGAATTAGGAAGATATATATTATTACCAAATTACCAGTATAAATGCCTGAAAAACATACCAGGGTAGTGGAATACAGCAACATAAAAGGAGTAAAGAAGATTATTCACCTAGGTAATTTTGGGAGGCTTAGTGCCTATCCTGTCTCTCTGCATTGACAGCCCCAGAAACAGACTATTTATTTTAGTTCTTGGTGTATCACTAAGTGAGATGTGTAAAAGCGATGATGAAAATACTCCTTGTAGTGTTAAGAAGCTTGTTAATCTGCACCATGATAGACACAATTTAGTACAAGCTGCTGAAGATGGGACATTGGATGCAGCCCATATAGTTGACCATATTACATATCGCTTGGTCATTTTCTGTGACCAAATTTGCATTTTAGTTGTGAGATAAAAAGTGTGTGTAGAAGACTTGCATGATTTTTATGGCTGAGATAAGCAAGCTTCATAAATTGGCATCAAATATGTTATAAGCCACTTTTAAGAGGTTTAAAGTGACTCAGCTTCTGTGGTGCATCCCCCTGTCTTCATGTCTGCCCTTTATTATTTTTAAGTCTACAGCTGGCAGCACCTAGTTATGATTTGGCCACAGCCTGTACACATAGCTGGGATTGCAGTCTACAAATACATTGTTCATAGACATAGAGACTGAAGGTGTAGGAGAGAAAAAGAGTAAAAAAATATGCACACTGATCAGGAGGTTATTGACAGATAAACAAAATGGGTTTGAGATACAAACATGGGGATTTTGAAAGTTTTTAGTAACTGAGGAGAAAGAATAAGATGATGAAACTTTCCTATTAATAGACTTACATAAGTGGTTTATTAAGAAGAAATTTATTAGTATGGGATTTCATTCTGTTTATTTTCCCCCTAGGTACTCCCACAGCATTTTTGAAATTTAAGTGATGGGTATGTCTTTCCAAAACTCAGTCACCAATCTTCATGACATTATTTGCTCAAAATTTCCATTGACGCAGCAAAAGCTGTGATCATCCTTTAGGATTTTTTCAGTAGCCATGAATCCAGAGGGCATCCGGAGGATAAAAGAAAACCTAACATTTTGAGGAGATTAAATGATCAGGGATTTTTTTCAGCCTTTTAAATTCTAGACCTCTTGTGTAAGTCGTTGTGCAAGTGACCCTCACTGCACATGGCATGCAGAGAACAGTTGCGGTTTTGTCGTTGGCATGTGTTAGTAAGAATTTGTAAGCAGGGGTTGCTGGGTGAAATTAATTGCATTGCATTACTTATGTCATGTTCAAGTCTGACTTATGAAAGAATGTTCTGGGATTTTTACCAGTGCTGTAATAGTTTTCTTGCAGTATTTCAGTTTATCTTCAGCACTTGGCTGGATTAGAGAATGGAAAGCAATTTACAGAAAGAACAGGCTTTGGAAAGATGAAAAGAAGATGAAGTATCTTTTTGCTTTGTGTTGTTATTAAGATTCCCCTCTTCAAAATGTCTTCATCTCAATATAGATGTTACTGGAGGCGAAGGATTGGGAGTGGGGCTCTGGTGGACCAGCTGGAGTGTATAAATGGGGGCTAGTATAGACGCAACAATACTTGGTAAGTTCCTAAAAATTATGTTGACAGCTGTTGAGCTCATCTATACTCAGTGTGTTTTTTGAAGAGAAGCCAAGGAATTTTTAATCAAGGAAGATTACTGAGCAGATTACTGCGTGCTTAAAAATAGACTTACTTTTATTAGTAAAACTTTTTTGTTTAAGCCTGAAGTGTTACATTTTTCACTCAAAATGCAAAAGCTGTTTTGATTTAAAACAGTATTAAATTATTATGAATGAGATAGAAAGAGATAATGAGATGGAAAGAAGATAATATTTATTCTGTTTAATTGAAATGTTGTATAGGAATGTCAGCATAAGTAATATAAATGCATTTTAACTTAAAAATTTAATGGATCTCAGACTGACATTTCAAGGGAAACAAGATTTTCAGTGACTTGTTAGATTGGAAAATGTCTGATTTAAAGAAAATTCTTTTTGGAATGTTTTTGTGTGAAGTTATTTTGGTAATCTGCTCTCTTGGGACCAATTGCTAGTCTTTTCCCACACTAATGAAACTAGGTCACTAGATTTTGGCACTCATCCAAGTTGTGAGATTTATTTGGTGTTTAAGCACACTGTCTAGAAATAGTGATGCAATGTCAGCAAGGCCACTTTTCATTTCATGAACATCATTTTCAGTGTCCTGGAATTAATTTATTCACTGACCTGTTAATAACTGCAATCTGTCACTGGCTTAACAGAGGCTGAGGAAGTGTCTGGAAATAGTCATGGTCACCCTACCAGGTGATCAGTTGCAGGACTGCTGTTCAATGTAATATTTTTTGGTTTTGATCATGCAGAAGAGTCTGACTGTTAATGAAAACAAACCAGCAACTTAATCAAAAGGAAAATACATGTAATTAGTAAATATGGGAGAGAGATTGAAGTAGTGGTTTTACCCTACATTAAACTACAGTGTGTCTGAGAATTGTGCTGGTTATCTTTGAAAAAGTACAGAAATTCAGCATCTGTAGATGATATACAATTCTTTGTAAAAGCACATTGTAATAGTATTGTCAAATAAAAAGAAACTTAATAATTTGATTTTGTTGGTGTTTCAGGTTTGTTCTCATCCCCATCTCTACAATGTTTTTGTTAAAATCAGGTTTGTCTTTTGCCACAGGCATCGCAGACGGTCGCTTGTGGCAGTGGGTTACTCTGCAGAGCAAAATAGCTGTTAGCCCTTTTCTACCTCACATCAGCCAGAGCCCTGGAGAGACAAGCTTGATGCTGCCAGCGAGGGAGAAGAGTTCAATGGTCAGAAAACAGTTCTTACTGTGCAGTCACACAGCTAGATAACAATTCCTAGCAATGCTGCTGGTATCTTCAAATTTTCTGTTTCTGCTGTGGAGAAGCATCAAGCTAGCTCTATAGGGATCCCCCCTACACCCTGCCATGAGCATCCTAGCCCTGAGTCTTTTACCTTACTTTAGATCTGACTATTTCTCCTGTTCCTCATTTACCATTCCCTACGGTACAAGCTGCACAGCATCCTGGCCCTTAATCCACCATCTTTAAAAATTAAATTTTGCCTATAGCAGTAAGATGGCTCTGATTAAAGTATCAGGCATCATCACTGCAAGGAGTAAGCCCTGCTCTTGGGGACAAGCTTTTCTAGACTTGTACAAAACTGATCTTTGGGCACAGATTAAAGCTTAATAATGAAAAAGGGTTTTGTAGGATTTTTTTTGTTTGTTTGTTTCTTTGGTTTGTTTTTGTTGTGAGATGGTTGGTGGTTTTGAGGGATTTTGAGGTGTAATTCAATACAGCTGATCTTCTGAGTTAGGGTACTTCTTGTGATATTTGAGATACTAAATTTCTGATGGAACATACAGCAGAGCATAGTGCTGATCTGCTATCACTGCCATTGCAAACATGGAAAGAGTGGCCATTTTTTTGGTCTGAGGTTTCATAATCAGTAATGGGCTTTTTCTGGAGTTTTGCATTTGGATGAAACTTGTGGCCTGAACTTCCATGGGTGAGCAGTGATAGTTGAGAACATGACCATCCTCCATATTGCCTTGGAAAGGTGGTGTAAATGAACAGCTATTTTTATTTCTAATCTGATTTTCTCTAAGTCTGCTGAAATGTCTTAATGGCATTTAAGGACAGAAAAACACTAGAGGTATTTTTAAACAATGACTTTTATTTTAAAATGGCGTATCTTTTAAAATTCCAACTTTATACGGTGTACCTGAACTCTGTTGAGGGGCTAAACATCTTGTTGTTATATCCATTGAAGTATTATCCTACATGGCTGTAGTGCTGGAAGAGAATTTATGAAATCCAATTAGAAGGGTAGTTGTTTTTCTGTAATTTAATAGGAAATTAATTTTTTAAATTTAAAAAATGGCAGAATGGGGCAAAAATTAGCAGCTTTCTCAGTGACTCCTGCTAAAGCCGGTATTTTCACTGGAGACCTGTATGAAGGGCAGTAGCTACTGCATACTCTGTTTTCTGATATTTATCTTACCAGAATGCTAACTATATGATTTCCTTGCATGGAAAGAAGAAAGGTCTGGCTGCTTTGCATAATATCAGTATTTTAGTGTATGGAATGCTTGCAAATTTTGATGACTTGGTCTAATGCATCTTTTGATGTCTCCTTTGTTTTCAGATTCTTTCAAGTGTCAGTAAATTAAGCTGTTCTCTATTCCCTGCATCTTCTGACTGCTCCCCAAAGCCTTTGTAATAAAAAAGAGTAAAGACAAAGTAAACTGTTAGTGATTCATTTTCTAGTGTGATAAAACATAAAACAAAAACCAGAGATGAACAATGTGAAAGAACATTCTGATCTAGTAAATCACATAGATGCAGGACATACTTCTTTTATATGCTCGGTAGATCAAATGAAAATTATTTGGATACATCTTCCTGTGTTTGAGACCTGTGTTTTTCTTAAAAACATACTATTGAATTTTTTTCGGTTGTATTAATTTTTAAATGACTTTTAGGAAAATTCTTTTGGTAGTTTATAATGTTCATATACTATTACATTATTAATACATAGTGTGGTCAAGATTCACATGATTATTTTTTGGGGGGAGGGGTTGTTTATTTTTTTTATGTTTCATCAAGAAATAGAGAAATATGTTAATGTTTGGTGACTTTCTAAACTCACAGTTATTTTGGCACGTTGAAACTGGCATTTTTGAAAAAAATCCCTCAGCCTGAATGACTAGTTCACCTGTATTGTAAGATACATAAAATAGAACATTTTTATAATCTAAACATATGTATGAATGTTGTTCTTGAAAATATCAGTATGCTAAGGGTTTGGTGGCTTTTTTGTCATTACTGTGACAGAAGTTTTCATTTTGTTGAGCTTGGCATCTGCTTTATTGACTGTTTCAAATGTGTTTCTATGAGACTTTTGCTAAATGTCTGCATTTACCAAGAACATAAGCTAAATGCAGTTTTCCTCTTCTGTCATGAGGTCACTTTTTTCACATTTTTTTACTGGGGAAAGTTCTTTCGAAAATCTCTCTCTTAACTGTTTTCTTGTAAAGAGTCAGCAGGTGATACTTCTCCCAGCAGAGCTGGCATAAAAGTATGTCTTGCAGAAAGCAGATGAATTAGAACCAATTAAAAATAGTGGAAGTTTTCATAGGTTGGAACATTTTATGTGTTGAATTTTCACTGTACACTATAAGACTTTATTGTAGTAAATCTGCCTTCAAAATCATCAAGCCATTCTCAGGAGCATTGCATCTAAAATTTCAGTGGATTCCTTCTAAACATGCCTTCTAAACAAAAAGGAAAAATTTAAGGAAAAATTAAAACATCTCCTAAGTCACTTCTTCTAGCCTATATGAATTAGTGAGATGCTAGGTGGGTATTAGCAGAATTAGAAGAAAAAAAATTCTGGTAAATTCATCTTAGATGACAGACTTCCCCACCATTTTTCTGTAGTGGAAGTCTGTCTCAGTGTAGCAGTAAACATGGGAGAAATAGTCCTCTTAGAAAAGATCAGTGAAGGGTACCTACTTTGATTGGAAAGCTGATATTTTCTATATCGTTTCCTGTGGATGAATATTAGCATGCTACCATGCCTGTAGTCAAACATAGGCAAGACAAAGTTAAAGCTTCTTTACATGTACCCTGCTACCTGGTTAGACAAGTATCAGTTCAGACATCCAGTAACTGGTTAATCCTAATTGTCAGGACAATTGAGATTGAAAGGCACACAGCAGCAGTAGGACCTAAGTGTTTCTGAGTTTTCATGCCTTGAAATAGAAGCCACCCTTTCCCTTCAGGCAGTTCCTAAAAGGCTGTTCTCACCAGCAGGAAATAGCATGTGGGGCTCAGTCCCCAAAAATGGTGTCCCTGTGCCTTGGAGTGTCTTGTTGGGCCTCTGGTTTCTTCTGTGATCTTGCTGTCAGTACAGGAGCTTACAGATACTGTGACCTCCAAAAGCACATTTCAGACTTAGGTATATTAAGTGGAATCCCAGGCATAATCTCAGTGATACAAGGCTTCAAGCACAGAAGGCTTTAAGGGGAGTTTCTTGTAAAATATAGAATGTAAGAGCAAATTGGTTTTATGTTCTTTCAAATGGATGTGTCTGGGTTTAATTACTTTCTATATTTAAAAGGGACAGGCAGTATTCAATTTTGTGTGTATTGCTCTGATAAACTCCTGCAGGTACAGAAGTATACCATAGGTCTGCACATAGCTATTATAAATATGGCAAATAAAATCCGAGAGGAAAAAGTGTGCTTCAGAATAAATATTTAATAAGTGTATGTTGTGTGGCTGTAGCTATTTATTTCCTTTTAATTTTGGTATATAAAAACTCATATAAAATATTGTAACAACTCTTTTATAAGTAATAAGCCATAAAAATAGAGTAAATGTTCATATTTTTATTATTTTGTTTTCCATTTCAGTCTTCATTTTATATAAAATTTAAAAAAGGTCAGAAAGAAAAGAGTTGATACAGAATTGACTGCTTCCAATATGGAAGAGAAATGTGATTGTTTGAAGACCAAATGCTCTCTGCTATGAAAATTCTGTCTGAAGATTAGCTGGTAGCTACTGATCTTTTATTGAAATTCCTAAGTGTGATGCTAGGTTCGTGTACTAATTGCTGTAAGTTTGAGCAAGGCAATATGCAGCATGTACTTTAAAGTTTTTTTACCTGAGGAAATTAATAGACAGTTTTAACCCAGTTATATTGGGCTATCACTTCCTACAGGACTGAACCCATAGCAGTGAAAGAATTCTTACTGCTTCTCTAAGATTAGAGGCAGAAATGAGTGTCTGAATTTTGATAGTTAAGTTGCTCAAAAGGAAGTTATGCCTAGCCAGCTTTATAGCTATGACAGATGATCAAAATTCTTCATGCTGAACACTTTAAAAGTGCCAGTTTTCTGGATATCCATCTCTTCAACAGAATAGGAGGTCACCTAGAGCATAATACTGTTGCCATTAAAAAGCTTCTTCTTTTCTTTAGTCTTGAAGTGAGAAATACAGAGGAAGAAAGAAACTGGGAGTACAAAAATAATAGTACATGCAGCATAGGAAGCAGCTATTGTTGTCCTTACTCATTGTTCATATGGAAAAAATAAGCCTCTGAGAATTAAGGATTTAAGGTAGTCTTGGAAATGTCAAAGTTCCAAATAGGGAAAGAGGCTGATATGTTTTCAGTTCTTCTGAAAACATATCAGCCTCTGTTGCTTCTCCATTTTAAAAGGGGTTAAACTCCAAGTAAATTGTTTCCATGTTCTATAAAATAGGTGGAGTATGAAATGTAAATACAGATTGTATTGTAGCTACAGATTGTCTGATACTCTTGAATTCCCTGCAATACATATGTAATGTCTCTAGACAACGCCTTTTTTCCAGGTCAGAGAGGTATACTCTACTCTGTTCTTTACTAAAAGTTTATCTTAACAATACCTTTTTTTTATTTTTAAAAACTGAATTAATTTGGTTGAATATTTACAAAGGCATATGCTTTTCTATTCCTAGAGAAGAATTGATTATTCATAATGAAACCAATGATAGTGACAAAATTTCTCAATTGTTTCCTTTTGAAAAAACACACTCAAACTCCCCTGAAATAAAAGCCCTCCAAACCCCCAGTGTTCATTTCTCTAGAAAAAGAAGTGTTTATTTTTAAAAAAAAGGACAAAAAAAAATCAGTGAAAGTTAAGTTTTGCATTTCTTGTTCTGTTGGGTCAAATAAAATAATAGTTAGACTAGTATGTTTTTCATGTGCCATATATTTTAGCAGATTTATGTAGATGTCTGTTAGCTTATCCTGTCATCCAAGAGCTAGCTACTGCATTAGAAAAAATAGATCTTCAGAATTCCTTTATCTGGACATGGTCCTGAACCTTTTCTAGGTGACCTTTCATGAATATTGGACAAGGTGATCACCAAAGATTCCTTCCAACTTTGCATTCAGTGATTCTGTGATTTTAGCAGTTTTAATGAAGCATCAAAACACAGTGAAATACATGTTCTTCCAGGTTTTGATTTTTTTTTATTTCTCAGAATCAACATCTTTCCTTCTCAGCACAACATAAAGTAACATGTTAAATATGTATGTGAATCTAAATCTGGTTGGTTTTTTTTTCCCCTTTCCCCTGCTCCTTGCATAGAAAAGGGAAGTAGTGCTTCACAGTGATGAAGTATGATGTATCAATGGAAGAATCACTGAATTTCCTGAAAACATTGTTAAAAGAACAAAATATTATTGCAGTCTCATGCTGTTTTTCTGATTTGTTATTTTTTTCATTCTCATGTTTCCTGATGTAATAGAACTTCATATTATCACTTCTGACAAAACTCCTAGTCCAAAGGTTTCATTACATGTATGATTCATACTTTAGACTTTAAAAGAAAGGAATTTTAGTCTTTGAAATGAGTATTTTGTGATTTTTATGTTCTTTCTTCTGACTCTGTGTGGTGTGGACAATAAACTCACTTTCATGCTCTTCTGATAATTGTAATAGGCTTGATGCAGATCTTTAGTGTACTCCTATGTAATCAAGGATAAAGTAGGTAAGATGAGTGCAGTTACTGAGTTGCTGCCAAAGGGAATTTGGCTTAAGCTGTCACATCAGGAAGTCAGCTTGAGTAAGAGGAAGGAAAATGAAGTTATCCTTACAAATGAATGCAGAGTATTGAAATAATAGTACTGCCACAGCTAAGGTTGGGATGAATTTTACTGTTTAGCTGAAGATCTTTTCCTGCTCTAAAAGTAAAATATGTTTTGAGATCATCTTAAAAATGTCTGTATCTTACTGAAAATGTGATTGTTGTGAACAGTCACATTTAAGGAAAAAGAGATCCACAAGGTCCAATAATTCTTGACCCAGAGGGTAGCAGGACAGAAGATATAAAAAGAAATGGGGAGATACCCTGGTACAGCACCTTATCCAATTCTGATTTGAGTGTCTATGAGGATATAGATGTGAGGATCAGATTTTATTAGTTAATGTCAAAATGTACCATCAGACTGTAGAGAGACTGCTCAGAAGGACTCTGAGACTGGTGGTCTATTTCTAGAGTAATAGGTCTTTTTATGTGGCTGAAGAAGTGTTATCTGAACTTAACATTACTTTATTCTAGCATGTCTGACATTACTGACTGAGTTGCCTTAGGGTGTTTGTTCTGGGTTTTGCTGAGTCTCGTTGGGTTGGTTGTTCTAGGATTTGTTTCTAAGTAGGACCAAACACCAAGTAGGAATCTTTCTTGTAGCATATGTCTAGTGCCTCTGCAGATGTATGGAATGATCTTAACTAAAAGGTTATCTTTTGAAAATAATATGGAGATAATTGCTTTGTTTTGACATTCAGGAGAAAAATGAGAGGGTTTTTTTGTTTGTTTTATTTGTTTGTTCTTATCAGTTTCTGGCTGTTGCAGTTTTCATCATTCTCTGAAGTAGCCATTGGTAGAGGTAAGGTTCTGCATTGCCTTAAGAATTGTGACTGAAATCCATCAAGAATGCCAAAGTAAACAGATATGAAAAAACCCACAACTAATCCAAGTGTCAAATTTTCCTTGCTTAAAGGAATAATCTCTTATTTATATGTACATAGTCTAATTCTGTCAGGGACAGTGTTACTGTGAGGCATTTACATAAACAAATCAATAAGCACTTAGCTTAGGGGAAGTGCATTTTCAAAATCATAGATCCATCATTTCTCTGTGTGATGATGTAGATTTTTTTGTTACTGAGAGAAATGAATACTTAATAGTATAATGAATATTTCTGTTATTCCTGTAACATTATTATCAGATCGCAGGTTTCTGAAAGGATGTGTGTAGATAATATTTTAGAGTTAATCTTTTGTGCACAGCTGAATAGATAGTAAGGTTACACTAATGACACATTTTTAGTCGACTAGCTAATAGTGCTGTAAGCACAGACCAAGTGTGGAGTTTGTTTGGCTGTCTCTACATGACCAAACATGACTTTTGACATTTACTGAGACAGGTCTGGCAGTTTCCACAGCTGTATACATGGTCTTTACTGTCTCTTTCCTCTTCAAAATAGTGATGTCCACTAAAATGGAAGTAATTTCTGGGGAAAAGTTGAGGTGATTTTGATTTTTCTTCCTAGTACTTCCTTTTTGTATAGAGATTTAAGAAGGTAAACATATCTTTGAAGAATTTAAGCTATGACAGGTCAGCTTTAACAAAGTATAATGACATAGTTACTTTGTTCTAAATAACTGCAGTTATGAAAAATGTTTTATCTTTAAATAACTTGAATTTTTTTTTTTTTGCATAAAAAATGTTACTGATTCATTTTTGATCTTCAGATATGTATGAAGTAAAGTATGAGTAGGAATTTTTTGACTATTCTTGGAAATGTGAAATAACTCCAGACTAACCTGCACTGCCACAGAATTGGAATACTGGAACATGAACTGTTCATGGTGTAGCTTATTGATTTTTGAATATCTGATTAAAGTAAATTACATCAGTCACTGAGATGGCAATATAGAAATATGGAAATGATATAATAGTTGTAGTCATTTCCACAATGAAAAAGTTGGCTTTAAGAATGTGTGTGGGAGGAAATTTTTTCCCAAGAATTAACTACATTTGAATATCATTTCATCTAAACAGAACACACCACCATATGACTGATATTTTCATTTCCATTGACATTCTTTTTGAGATGTTGCTTTTTATTCGTCTCTTAAGTATTGGCTGGCTAACTTTTTGTTTCTCTACACCAAAAAAAAAAAAAAAAAAACAAACCCAACTTTATTCTGATGTTCATAGCATCATAATGATGAATCAAATATTTTAGCAGTTGTTTGTTAGTTATTTCCATGGTCAGTCTGGCAGTTTTCTATGTCATCTTTCACTGTGATTTACCAAGTTCTTTTACTGGTTGGTAAAAAGGGCTGATTTGCACGTTTCTTAGTCTCATAATCAAGTATGTGTCTGATTAAGTCAAAATCTTAAAATTGACCAATTCTAAACACAATCAGAATTAAGAAAGGTATTTATTTCTACAAAATTATTTTCTTAAGATGTTAGGAAGATTTAAAAAAAAATACTTATTTGTTGTCTTGTAGACCCCCAAAGACTTAGACTAAGTTACAAACCTGTCTGCCTTGACTGATTGCTAAATCAGTCTTTTACAATGTGTAATTAAGGAAAATCCACATTGATTCAATGATGCACCATACTCCTTTTTGTGTCTTTCTGGGGAAGAAATATGATATTGAATATGAAACTGGGTGAAATCTGGCTTCATACAGTAGGTAATGTTTTTTTACTGCAAAGGCTATTGCATAATGCCTTGCCATCATACCTGATGGTTTTAATAGTGCAGAAGTAGAAAGTGGCAAATGAAATAGTTCATCAGTTTGAAAATCCTACAGCTTGAAGAAAATGGAGAAGCTTGCTAAAAATCATCTACTTATTTAATAATTCTAGCTCCAGTTTATACTTACAACATTAAAAAATATATACTCTTAGTCTTCAGTGTACTTTTGGTCTTCTACATCCATTCTGCTTAGAAACCAGACATCTGAAGCATCATTTAAACTTCTCAATAAAACTTTGGAGGTAAGATAAACAAGAATATATATATATATCTCTACTATAAAGTCCATACTGTTTATTTGTAGTTGGTATCACTGACATTGCCTTGTGATGCTAGGCAAATACAAATGATTCCAAGTAATTAGAGTGGAGTTTCACACAACTGAGGACTCTATAATTTACCTGGAACTGGGGTTCCAATGAACTATTTCACCAAACTTAAAATTGTAGAAGCTGATACCATAGTTGTTGTATTTTTGTGAGTCTAATTAAATGTAGATTTACAAGATAACTTAGTAAAGAAGATATATATATATATACATAATATTACACTATATCTAAGTAATTTTAGTTGTTTACTACTGAAGTTTACTCTAATTTCAAGTGTTTCCTGTCTTAGGGTCATGCCATAGGATGCCTAGCTCATTTTACAGACTACTGCTTATTGTACTTGCTCTTTTAAATTACTTTAAGTAGAGGTGATGAAAAGTAGTTCAGTGAATGCTTCAATACAGAATAATTTAGGTTGGAAAAGATTTTAAGATCAAGCCTAGTGGTTATTTACTATTGAATGACTTATTGTAGTAAAGACATATAAAAGTGATATGTGCAGAAAAGAAAGTATAGTATATTTTGATTTAGTTAGAAATAGGATTCACTTTGAAGGACAGAGTGTATAAAAAATCTTTTTTTTTTTTACTATGTGGAAGTTTAAATTTGTAATGCCTCTGAATAAAGTTATGTCTTGCTATTCCTTTGCACTTAGTATTCTGCAACAGCTCATGTAATATTCTAAATGTGAAAAAAGGATGCTGTTGAAAGGATTGGTACTATATCCAAAACATTTTTATTAATTGTAAATGTAATAATTAACAGTAAAATAATTTCTGTTTTCATCTTGTGCAGAGTGTTGTATACCCATGCATGCATCCATGCACTCATGCTTTTAGTTGAATGTAGCTAGTTAATTCACTAGCTACAATTTTCTTTTTCTTTCTTAACTTCTATTTTTGTCAATGAATTTAACATAATTCCAGCTTGTTTTTTTTTTTTGTTTGTTTGTTTTATAAACAGTTTGTGAAACTATCTTGAAAAATCTAAATGACAATGACTCCAAAATTCTTATTAAGTGCTTTGGGAAAAGAGTAAGCTACTAAGGTATCTGTTTGCTAGGAAAGAAAACTGATTTAGGCAGCAGAGCCTTGTAGTGACCATTATCAACTTCTATTGACAATGAAGAAGTATAAATAATGGCTTTGTTCATTTCTTGACAATTAAACATTCAAAAAGATTGGAAAAGGGTCTGATTTTGACTAGTGCTGTGTGATATTTATACTTCTTTAAAAGTTTACCTGTGAAAATTCCAAACATAAAATAGGTGCAAAAGTGATACTGGTGTTCACTAAACATTTGTTTTTTTCTTTTTGTCTACATTTTTAGACTACTAATCATAGTAGAAATATTTGCTTTCATTGCATGCAGGATATTAGTAGTGGTATTTCCGTTATTATGACGTGCAGCTTGTTTGTTTTCCTTTGAGCTATAATAAATGTGATCACTGATCACATTTATTACTGATCACTGTAAGACAATGATGTTACATTTTTGTACCAGCTTCAGGATTGAGACATTTTATTCAATGGTTTTATAAGGGGGAGAACAATTGCCTGGTCTGACTAGGCACCTGCAGTTACCTTACAGCTGTTACCACACTTGAAAGATAAAATAGGAATTTTTGAACACCATCAAGGGAGAAGCTCAAAGGGATTTTTAGTAATCTCATAAACAACAGAAAAATTTTTCTCATATTTATGAAGACCTTCTAGATGAGACCTTGTATATTGAACTGGAGGAGCTGAAAAACTTCTGTAAAACTTGTGAACAGTGAAACATTGTCAGTGATGTGTCCATCAGTAAAACACAGCCAAGGTGACTGTGTCACCCAAAGAAGCTGTTACTACAATCCCAGTTTCTTTTTATTTTCACATTCAAAAAAATAAAACAAAAAAGTCTTTTTATGACTGGCAGAATGAGAAGTGATAAAGTGTTTAGATTTTACTAAATACCTTTTGTGTTAGTGCACTTCTTGACCCTAGCAAACATCTCTATATCAAGCCTTCTGCACAGTTAAGGCTTTGTATCATACTTTAATCCTTTTATGGAAGAGTTAACGTGGCATCGTTTCTCAGAAGTTTAGAAAACGTCTATTATATGAATCACTTTGTCTCGGTGGAATAAAAGCTCATTGAACTGTGATCCACAGCAGTCTCTTGTTTTATAGTCACATGAATCAGTGTTTGGATATTATATTATTCATACCATGAAGCCAGTGCAGTAGAATTAGGCTGTTGTGTTACATGTTGGAAAAATATTGCGTATTTGTACCTGGACAGTTGTTCTGCAATGATGTAATGGCAGCAGTCTGTTAATTTGCAATCTATTTTAAAGCTCATTGAACCACTTTGATTTTTAAAATGATTATTTAAAAAAAAAATCAATCCTACCCAAACCCAAATCATTTGCATGTCCTACTTTATCTCTGTGGTATTTAGGTGAGAGATTTAAATGAACTTTCCAATTGTTTCTATATAAAAAAAGATAGATTTTCTTCTGATAACTGTAAATCTAACACATTAAGAATAGAACTTAGTAATTTTGAATATTTTCTAAAATCTCGAATATCAAAGAATACTTTTAGAATTAGTTGACATCATTAATTTTTCTATTGTAGCACAATAATATCCTGGTAAAAGATGAGAATTCTGTATTTTAAGGCAAGCTGCAAAGTGGAGGAAGGTGATTGCTCCTGATGTAAGCATAAATGTAGGAAAATTGTAATATATTGTTTCCAAATATAAGGAAACCATGAGACTGTAGTAAGTGTGATAGGTAATGTTTTGAGTCTCTTCAGTCTTCAGTTCTCTTTAGGCATCAGTGTAAGGAAAATTTAAGGTCTGAGTTGAAGATGATAGTTACTATGTCCACACTACTCTCCAGCATGATGTGTGTGAAGGAAGTCTGGAATTACTCCTGTAGCTCCAAGAGCAGATTAAATCTCACAGTGCATAATGAGATGTCATGGATAGATAAAACAGAAACCTAAAAGCATTACTTTGATATTTTTACCGATAGAAGCAGTGTAGAGTCAACAAGAAGCGTAAAGAGAGGAATGTCAGGACCAGAAACAGAGCAGAGACCCTGTGTTTGACATTTAGAGAATGAAGAATTTGCTGAAGTTTCATCCTCATACGCTCATCAGCAGAAATGTTAAAGATAATTGTACATACTGTAATGTAAACCCATTGTATCTTTCAACAGTACTAGGAAAGAATGCCTCTGACTCCCAAGATATTCTAGGTGGAAAAAAAAATAAACTGTTTTCAATATTCTCTCAATACCTTACTTATGATCTTTATGACAAACCTTTTTGACCTGAAGAATAGTTTTTTGATGCTGCAAATGAAGCTCAGTGGAAGTATGGAAAAAAGGTTTTGAACTGGCAAAGGACTTATAGGAAACTACTAAAGGAAGTCAGAGTACATTTGATTGAGTAAATACAGCTTGAGCTATCTCCACTGGTTAAGGTGATTGTGTAAATGATTTCATGGCCTCCTTTTTCTGTCTGATCCCTTAATGAGTCCCTTAGGGCATAGATGAAGATGTTATTACTTTTGTTTCTGACACAGATTTACAATTTTGTACACTTGTCTTCTTTTCTTTATATTGCAACAAGACTAATATTTAAAATCAAACAAAATTTAAAATGCACTAAAGAAACTGCAGTAGACCAAATGTTTTTGAGTTAATGCTTTTGTCTTCTGATGTACATACAGTCTAACATTCCTCGACAGTTGATTGGTCCACAGAGAAGTTTAAGAACTAGTTGAGTAGTTTAAGTTTAATAGTTTAACCTTTAAGCTCAGGTTCAAACTTTCAAGTACAAGGGTGAATAGAAGCTATAGTTTTCCACATACGATTCTCAACTTATGGGTGGGGCTTGTTTGAGCAAGTGAAATTTTAGAACCAAAGAGCTTGTACTGCATGCCCCAAAGGTCTGACCAGTCTCGTGTCTTGTCTCCCAGAGGGCAAACGTCTATAAATGAAACTTGACTTTATTACTTTCCCAGTCTCTGGTTTTTTGATTCGGGGTTTTCTGAACTGGATGAGTTTTATATATTTTTAATAACTCCTGTGGGATTTTGCTTCCATGAATTTGTCTGATCTTTCCTCCCCTTAAGCCCCTGCTTTGTTGCAAGCTTTGTTCAGAACTTGTACCACTGATCTGATTTTGCACAGAGGGATCTGTAGATTCCAATGTAACAGTGACCTGATAGTTAAGTGATTCAATGATCTAAGTACTGCTTTTTAAAAAACGACCATTACATCATTGCCAGTGCCTGCAACTGTGGATTCTCTGAGCAGCAAGGGAAGTGCTGACAAAACTCATGCATTTGAGTTTGAGTCTCTGTGCTACCTGACAAAGAACAGTTGCTTTGTTGAATGCTAGCTCTGGTGACCTAGTCATGATGTACTTTTCCCTGATGTGGTTGGTTAAACAATTTGAAGAGTTACATGGAGGGGTGTCAGCATATTACCAGCAGCTGTGTCAAGAGATTACTGCTTGCTGTCATACTCTCAGCTGCACGTCTTGCCCTCCTGCCAGAAGTCATCACCCATTTAGATCTACTTGTAGAACAGCCTGTTCAAATTCTTCTTTATGACAGTAAAAAAAAAAAAAAAAAAAAAAAAAAAAAGGTCTACAAAAGAGCTACATTTTAAGATATCTAGGTTAATTTTTGACTACAGCAGACTTGGAGAATCTGATTCTGAGTCCAGGGATCTGATGTAGAAGCGACTTCATGTGCATTTAGAGAAGCAGTAACCTCTTTTATTGAAACAGCTGGACCTGTCAGGTTGACTAAGGTTCATGCCATGTAAGATGAATTTCTCTTGTGTATTCTAGAATGATAGAGTAACTTCAGCTGGGCAGGTACTTTTGAAGATTTCAGTTCCCTGTTAGATCAATTCCGTGAAGTTAGATCGGGTTAGTCAGGGCCTTGTATTGCCATTTGGTATATCATAAAAATAGGTAATTTCTCAGCCTCTCTGACCAACCAGTTCTATGGTTTAATCCCCCTCCTTCTATTTTATTAGAATTTAATGTGCTGCAATTTGTGCTTTTTCCATCCGAGTCTTTTGCTGTGTATCTCTGAGATAAGTTGGTCTCTGTTTTTCTATAACTGTCATATAGGTGATTGAGGATAACAACAAGGACAATGTGGTAGATTGCCAAAAACTCTGTAAATTTGTGGTAAATTACAGTCTTTGCTCTCACCTCATCTTTTGAGTCAACCATCTCCGTGTCAGGTTGGTTAGGCACTTCCTCTTGTGTGAAATTCAAATGACTTCCAGGGTACTTTACTTGACTGCTGTCACCTTCAGAAGAAGAGACTCATATCACAGTGACATTAGTCAACTTCCTTGGCACCCTTGGATGCATGTTGTCTTGTCCCTGGAGACTTGGAAATGCCCAATTCTGCTCATCTGGTCCTGGACCCAGTATCCACTACTGTGTGTGGTATTTCAGTCCCACAGACTCCACTGTGATGCTCGAGAGGAACTCCGATGAGCCAGGGAGCAGATCAATGAAAAACGAGGCAAAGAAAACACTGAATAATACGGAAGCCTTTCTGTGACCTTTGCTGTACTTTTTCCCTGACATTTTTTTGCTTGATCTCATGTCTTATTCTCCAGAGACCCATATATTTACTTTGTTCAAATTTTTAAGGTGCTAACGTGCTTAGAGAAGATTTTGTTTACCTCTAACTCTGGCTCTTACTTCCACTTGTGCTCATGTGGTTGATGTTTCTGTATTGTTTTTAAGTGGACTGTTCCTACTTCCACTTTACATACACTTTCTGACATTCTGGGGTTTTTCCTCATTTTCCTTTGAGATGTTGTATTTGCTGCATTTATATTTGCAGAGGAAATTTATCATGAGGCTTTTTGCATGCCCAATTTTTCTACTTGATGACTGCTGCTGAAATTTCATTGCATTCAGTTGGAGAAATACTTATTTTTGAACAAATAGTTCAATAACTTGAAGTCTCTTCTCATGAGTAATTGACTGTGTTCCATAATTGAATTGCAGCTCCTGCAAACTGATATGGGAATGTGATACTAGAAGTATGTTCTGAAATATGAGAGCTAGGGTGCAGTCCAAAACCATAAAATAATTATCAATTTACATAGAAGAGTAAAATGAGAATAACCTTTTTCTGATTTTTAGACTGGTTGTTTCTATTTAGTCTGCTCATAAAATGGACAAAGGCAATTGTAAGGTAAGTCTTCCTGTTCAAACCTTAGGAGTGGCATTCAGGTGTTTCAAGTGTGTATTTAAGCAGTTTTCCGTCTCTTTTCCTTTTCAGTATTTGAGACATTTCTTTATGGCAGATCTGGATACCTATTTTGTAGCTTTTTTTTTTTAAAGAATCAGTCAATCATTCTGTGATGAGTAAATTTTTTTTAAACAGCAATTCAGAGAATTAGAAAGATAGCTGTTAATATCCTTATTATAGTAGCTTTATTAGCAAATGTATATTTAATTTTATTTCACTGAAATAAATTTATAAAATGTTGTACTGTTCATGAAGAGTTATCTTATGGCAATAAGATGCAGAAAGCTTAATTACTGCTATCTGTAGATGTAATGGATATGTGTTTAACACAGTTCAGGGCTCACTAACCGGTTTAATGGTCTCATCACAATTTTCTCGTAATGTTATTGTGTTTGCAGCACTTATCATGTACAATAATTGTGTGTTTACATTTTGTGTGATGTATGAAGAAGTACAGAGATTTCTTTGTCAATGTCTTAAATTGGGCAACTCCAGTGGTTTTTAAATTAGTTTAACTGCATCCAAAGCTGTTTAATCATGCCCTTCCTAAAAAGAACACATTCCCTAATATTGTCTTAAAAAATGATGACTTGTCTGAAAAGGCAAATTGCACTGTTGGTGTAAAGCAGTTTAGAAGGCACAGATCATATTTTTCAAATGGTTTGATTTAATAGTTTACAGACATGTAGGATGTTCAGTGACAGCTTCAAGCTTTATGTGGTGAATTAAAATGAGTTTTAAACTCTGGTGACTTCATGTTGAACAAAGTAAAATTTCAGCTTTGATCCTCAGGTATGGAATGTGTGTGATGATTCACTTGTGGTTCAGAATATGATGGTTTTAGTAACTTGTTGAATGGTGCTAAATGTTGGGAAGTGAAACAACTTTTGTACTCTATTTGCAGTTGAAGTAATTAATAATTTAATGGTTAGCCTTACCCTCATAATCAGCCAAAATTGAAAAATACAATTTTTTTTAATAAACAAGTAGATATATTATATTTCAAAGCTTTTAAATTACTTGTTCTTTCTAATCTACTTAAAGCACAGGTATGTTGGACTAATTATCAAAATTGCTTCCTGAT